CTATTCTGATGTCTTCATGCGTATATGCATTGCACTTTATTCGTGTTCACCTCCTGTTACCCCCCCCTTTTTTTTTTTTTTCTTAATGTGGATCCATGAGTTTAATTAGGACTACCTCCCAGAGCCCAGGTTAGGAGCTATTTACAGGAACAAGGGCAATTTTCCTGTACTACACTCTAGAGAAATTGTCTCTCTTTCTCCAGCAACTGTAACCTGTCTGTAGACCTCAGGGAGGGAAGGTGGCTCATGAGCCTGTCCTGCCTAGCAGTTACTAAATTTCTCTAAATCCTGAAGGTGCTTGGCCATGGTGACTTCTGCTTTTAATCCCAGCACTCAAGGGTGAGAGGGAAATGGATCTCTCTGAATTTGAGGCCAGCCTAATCTATACAGCAAGTTCCAGGCCAGATAGGACAAAAGTGTCTCAGGGAGAGACAAATCAATGTTTTACACTTAAGCAATATACACTTGTGCCCAGGCATGTGGAAATCAGAACAGCTTCTCTCCTGAACCATCTCATCAGCCCTATTTTTCTTTTAAGATGGGGTCTCATCCTTGCAATTGGGAAGCAGAGGTAGGTGGATCTCTAAGTTCAAGGACAGCCTGGTCTACATAGCAAGTTTCAGGACAACCAGGGCTATATAGTGAGACCCTGCTCAAAAAAAAAAAAAAAAAAGAGAGAGAGAGAGAGAAAAGAAAGAAGAAAAGGACAGGTTCTCCTGTACCCAGTTGGCCTGGAAAAATCTATGTTGTCAAGGCCAGTCTTGGACTCCTGTTCCTGCCTCTGCCAAGTGCTGGAGAGCACAGCATATTCCCCCATACCTGGTTTCATGCAGTCGTGGGGACAGAACCCATGGCCTTGTTCATGTAGGCAAACACTGAGCTATATCCCCAACCCTAAGTATGTAAGAGCATGTTGTGTTGCTTAGGGCTCTAACTAGACCTTGGGTGTGTCACATGTTTTACTACTGAGCTATATCCCTTTCAAAGCTAAATATTCTTCTGCCTCCAGGATATTTCCTTAGACTACTACAAATAAGATCATTGAGCCCAATTCAGATTATAATGATGTTGTATGTTATCATCCTGTTTAAAAATCACATGTACATACACACACACACACACACACATACACACACACACGGGAGCAAGTGCCTAAATAACCATATGTAGACACTCCTCCTCCTCTCCCGCTGCTTATTCCATGTGGCTCATGATTGCAGGCTCCAGCACGGACATCAGTGAGGACTGGGAGAAGGACTTTGACCTGGACATGACAGAAGAGGAAGTGCAGATGGCACTTTCCAAAGTGGAGGCCTCCGGTGAGGTGAGTGGGTCCAGTCAGGACAAGCTAGTCCCGTGATGTGAGAGTAGAATTCCTTTGGCAGCAAACCCTGTTGCCCCTTCAGGGTAAATCCCTACATCTAGCTGAGCTAATGCCTGCAGGAAGAGAGAGGAGGCTTTGCCATCAAGCCTATGACACTTGTCATTGGGCTCTGCTGCTGATCAGTTCTAGGGTGGGTGCATGAGTGAGTTCTTGACCTTAGCTCTGTCTCACAGTCACCCGAGGAACTAAAAACAAAGCAAACAAACAAAAAACAACAAAAAACGATGCTTACATGGCATGGTGGCAGTTATTCCCAGTGTAATCCCAGTACTCAGGAAGAGGCACAGGGACCCCATTGCCTAGACTAGTTCAGAGAAAATTCAGGCTAGCCTGGGCCTGGATTAGATATATAGAGAGATATAAATGTTAAACTCTGTCCCTAGCCTGCAATTTGTGAGACTTTAGCAGGTTCCTGGTCTTGAAGACAGGAGGCCTTTGATTGAGACCAAGACATTTAACCTCTATTTCCTCTCCTAAAATATAGGACTCATAGTGGCTGGCTTAGAAGCTGTAGTGAGGTGCACCATTTAAACACTAAGTGAGGTCCCTGTCATTGACAGCATTCAGTAGACGTTAGTGTCACACACCACCAACCCTTTCCTGCTATTAAATTTAAGTGGGCCTTTTATTGTTTTCATTCTTTACTACCTTCCCAAGTCAAGAGTTGGCCCAGTTTCGGCCAGAAGTGATGGCACACACCTTTAGTCCTACTACTCAAGAGATAGAGGCAGACAGATCTCTGTGAGTTTTAGTTCAAGGCCAGCCTCATCTACATATCAGATTCTAAGACAACTAGGACTACACAAGAGACTCAGTCTCAAAACAAAACCAAAAGAAGTAGGCAGTTTAGAGAATTGGAGACACAAGGTCTGCGTCTCAATCTCTGTGTCTCCCTCTATCATCATCTTTTTCTCTCTTATTCTCTTCCTTTCTCTCTCCCCTTCTTTCTCCCCCAGTTCTCTCTCCCTTTTCCCCCCTGAGGGTGGGTATCAATGACTCACTATATAGGCCAGATTGGCCATGAATTTGCATCAGTCTTCTCGCCTCTGCCTCCTGAGTTCATGGATTACAGGCATGGACCACCAGGCTCAATGACAAGCATCTGGCGTTTGACATTGAAAAGCTGGGAATTGATGACCTAGTCAAGAGTATTTTGCACCTGTGACCTCACTGTTACAGAAGACCAGCTGTTACATGTTAAGGATTTGCAAGCTTATGTCTTTTAGCTCTCTTTAAAACCTAATCTGCTTGGCTGGGAAGGGCTTTGTGGTAGAGCACCTGCCAAAGCATCCAGGAGGTCCTGAGTTCGATCCCCGACTCTGAAAACATACTCATACAACAAAATCTGACAGGCAGTCCACATCAGTCCTACTGCAGCAGGAGTCAGCTGAGAACAGGCCAGGAGTAGCAAGGCAAGAAAAAGACCTGAGCTGGAAGTTAGGGTACAGAAACCCTGGAAAAGACCTTGTACAAAAAGAACAGGAGGGGAGGAAAGAGTCCATTTCACCTGTGACAGATGGAGTCAAGTCCAGACTCCCTAAAGCTTGTTTAAAGTTGACAAAAGAAGTAAAAGTTTAGCCAGGCGGTAATGGCACACACCTTTAATCCCAGCAATTGGGACCAGAGGCAGGCTGTGAGTTCTAGACCCGCTTGGTCTACATAGTGAGTTACAGGACAGCCAGGGCAAGACAGAGAAACCCTATCTCCAAAAACAAACCAACAAAGTTTTAGCTGTATCAGCACTTGCAGCACTGTGCTACCCTGTTCGTAGTCACAGCGCCACTCTCAGTTCTTGGCTTTTGAGGCACATGGCCTTTGCTAGCAGGAAACACGATCTCCTTTTGGGAGTGGCTTCTTGGGCAGGCCATCCCATGCCCAGGTGTGTTGGAAGTATTCCCTTTGGATCTAAAGCAGTCAAAGCAGCAAGCCTCTCTCCCTCAGGCATCGGGCATCTGTGTTCCCTAAAGCTAGGGCATACCTGTGGGGTGGGCCCTGCCCAGTGGTGGCCTTGCTCAGCACAGGGAGGTGGGCTCTGGGCTTGACTCGGAGGTCGGAGGAGTAAGTGTGTCTGTGCTCTCACTGTCTCCTCACCTTTGCAGCTGGAAGACGTAGAGTGGGAGGACTGGGAATGAGGGAGCCAGAGCAAGCAGCTCCCCGACCCACGGCACATCCCACCTCCCTCGCTCGCTAGTCTCAGCTGGCCTTGGAAGACACTGAGAATGTCCCCCAAATGGCCTCTGCCATCCAGACCTTGGCACATACTCTGGTGGCTCCTTGCTGGCCCTCTGCTCACACCTTGGAAGAGCCTTTCTAAATACAAACCAGAAGTCTGACTTGTGCCAACCTTAGGATGACCTAAGGGGACGACCCTTACCCCATCACCGGAGAGCCTGCATTTCTCTGCTGTTCTAGGGATCCCTGCTGGGAACCTCCTGGGGTAGCCATCTTCTGCACAGAGATGGGAGCTGATGCACTGGTCTCTCTTTGAAGAGGCCAAGACAACACACTCTATCCTATAAGCTAGTAAACCAGCAAGGAAAGCCATGCCACCTGTCCTTGGCAACACAGGGACAGTGAACAGCGTCTTGGTTCCTGTCACAATGAGTAAGAGGCAATCATCTTTGGGAAATTGTCTCTCTCTGGAATCTCCATCCCAAGCATTTTCCATTCCTGGAAAGGTCCTATGGGGTTCAGGATCTAAAACCAAACTTGACTCTCCTCCAGCCCACACTGGGATATCCCCACACATTCCCAGGGCTTTTATGTCAGATGCACCCAAGTCCTTAGCCCAGCTGTGCCACTGCAAGAGTCTGCTCTTGTTTCTTTCCCTCCCCAAGAAGGGAGGGAGCCACTTCCAGGCCTTTCTGTGTTTTGACTGATAGGGCACCTGCTCCAAGCAGCTACCTAGCTTGACTCCCTTAGCTTAAGACAGAAGCCAGCTGTGAGCTCTATGAAGCGTGAGCAGAGGCAAGTACTCATGGTCCATCATCAGGCCAGCTTCTCCTCAGCCCTCTGCTCCTGAAGGGATGTGCTGGGACAAGCATCCTGAGACTCCTGTCTCCTACAGAGGCCCTCCTTCCTGAAGACAGCCTGGGGCTCTTACCCTCTTGAGACAGTGAGGGCCACATGAAGACCTGGTGCTGCATGGATGCTCTCTGGTGGTTCTGCATGCTAGTGCATCCACCGGTGACAAAAGGAAGCTGGTTCAGGGTCACTGTGAATGGTGGGCACTACTTCAAACCTTCAGTGAAGGGGGGGAGGATGGAGAGAATGCTAAATATTTTTTTTTCTGATGGGATGGGTTTTTCTCTTTGTAATTATTTTAGTTTAATTAACCTTTTGGTTGTTTGTGCAATATTATATATTTTAAATTATAATGCATCTCCCCAGAGTATTTTGTAGTTGGGAAAAGGAAAAGAAAAAGAAAAAAAATTCTAACAGCTGTTAGTTTTGTAATTAAAAAGGAACAAAAAAAAGTTTGTCCTGAACCTTTTACAGATTTGCCATAACAGCATTAAAGTGATTGAACAGAAGTGTCTGGGGATGTTTCTGTCCCCCTTTACAGAGGCTCGCACAACTGCAAGCATGACTTCCTTCCTCCCTGGAGCTAGAGCATAGGCTGCGTCCTGGAGACACTCCTCTTTCAGACTCAACTCGGCATCTGGTTTGAGAAAGGGACAGGCCCAGCCAGCATCTCAACAAGCCAAGGAGTTAGGAGGCCATTTCTGCATTCCAAACGCTTTTGCTTTTCTTTGGAAAGCAAGTTGTAGTACTCAGGTCAAGGCTCTCTCCTGTTCTCCCTGCCCATTGAAGATTTTAGGGTCTAACTTAATGAGCTCCAACTAAACACCTATGACATACGAAAATCCTTTGGGAGCCATTAATAAAGGAAAAGACTAAAATAAAGCCCTTAGTTCCAGGAAGATCTCTAGAAGATCTCTTTGGTAAGAGGCCCGTGGGGCCACATTGAGGAGGTAGAAGGGGGCTATGGGATAAATGAACTTAAAGTGTAGACTATATATCACCATTTTAGAAGCGGGTTTTGGGTTTGCTTTCTCCCCCTACTTTATTGGGGAGGACTTGCCATTGCTTTTATCAAGTGTTTGCTAGCCATGGGTGCCAACTAACTTCTTCGATTGAAGGCCGGAGTATCATATCTGGTTCCAGGAGCCGCTTGAGCAGGTCCTGGCATTCGGTTGAGATGCCCAGATGAGTGGGGAAGGATACCCCCTTCTGTTGCTGCCACAGCATCTTGGGGATATCTGTGTCATCAAAAGGTAGGCTTGCGCAGAGCATTACATACAGGACCACACCCATGCTCCAGACATCACCTTTCTTGCTATCATGGGGTATGCCCTGCAGCACCTCAGGAGCGGCATAGGCTGTGCTGCCACAGAAGGTCTGACTTAGCTCCCTGCGTGTCTTGGGTAGCACCTTGGCAAAGCCAAAGTCGGTCAGCTTCAGGTTGAAGCCCTGCAACAAGGCGTTCTCACACTTAAGGTCCCGGTGGGCCACGCCACAGCCATGGCAGTAGCGAATAGCCTCAACCATCTGGCGGAAGAGGGCTTTGGCCCGGGTCTCGGGAAGTGGCCCTCCGTTGAGCACACAGTCAAAGACATCCCCTCCCTCAGCCAGTTCCATCACCAGGTAGATTTTTCCATCTGCTGACTCCAACATCTCATACACCCGGATGATGTTTTTGTGGTCCAGGGTACGGACAATCTGGAGCTCCCGAGGCAGGAATCTCTGGATAAATTCTGAGGGAAAAAAAAAATGGGGAGACAGGATGGGCTATCAAGATCAGAAAGGCCTGTTCTCATTCCTGACTCCTGCTTTCCGGCTTCTGGACACACACCATGCCCAGGTGTTCCTCCTTGACTCCCTGAGTAGTCTCAGGTGTCTCCAACAGCCAGGTACTCCCTTTTATTCATGATTAGCTCATCCTTGGAGCCTCCTCCCTGAAGTCTGTGAAACTACAGACGAAGGGGTGCTTAGGAACTTCAATGCTATTGAATCCCAGGATTCTTTCCTGGAGCCCTGCCTTCCTGTCGCTCTGCCACCTGTCTTGGCACCAGTTTTGCGGTCTTCCCGTCAACACCTCTTGGGAAAATTGAGGATCCTCTGCCTTGTGCTGTACTTGTGGATCTGGAAAGATGCAAGAATCCCGGATTTCCCACATTCTTTGTGTGTGTGTGTGTGTGTGTGTGTGTGGTGTGCATGTGTGGGGGGGGGTCGGGTTTTTTTTTGTTTGTTTGTTTTTGTTTTTCTCGTTTCTCTGTATAGCCTTGGCTGTCCTGGACCATGTAGACCAGGCTGGCCTAGAACTCACAGCAATCTACTTGTCTCTGCTTCCCTGAGTGCTGGGGTTAAAGGCATGCGCCACCAAGCCCGGCTACCACATCCCTCTGTTTAGGGCAGCAATCTGGCTTGCTTTGTTTGACTAAAAGGAAAGAACTGTTCTGAAGGAAGCGCCTACCCATGTTGGCTAGCCCACCCTTCCTCCAAAGGGCCCAGCTCACCTTCTGGCCCTCCCATCTTGTCTATAATTTTAATTGCCACTTTTCTTTGATGTTTTTTGGAAAATGCTTCTTTGACTTTTGAGTAGGTCCCTTCCCCAATGGTCTTGCCCAGCTGGTACCCATTGGAGAGTAGAAAGTCCTCCATGCTGTGTAGCGCCTCCTTCTTGTCACCCTCTCAGCTCATGCTGCCTCCGTGAGGCAGCTCTACTCCACCATCGCCCTTGGCCTGCTTCTTTTCCTCCCAAGGACTTCATCCACAGCTGCCTCCAGGGCTAGAACATTCTCCGTCTGGACACAGCCACAGGTGGTGGGGAGGGAGAGGACCAGACATTTTTAAACTCCTGTCCAATTGTGATGTAAATGCTGTGTGACCCTCAGACAACAGGGGCAGTGTCCCCGCTTTCCCTCACCACCAGCAGCTAACCCAGCATGGGTTAAGTCATTCTTGAGGAAGGCACCGAGTGGCAGCAGTGCTGAGGAACGGGCCTGGGTGGCCGCGTAGGCCAGGGATGCGGGGCTTCTCCATGTGGACTCCGCTTCCAGGCAGGCCGCCCTCGCCTCCGAGGTCCCCATCGAACTTTTGGGGGACAGTGCAAGCCAGTCACCAAGGTGCAGTAGCCAGAACCCTCTGGCTTCAGGCCCAGGCCCACACGGAGTGCCCGAACGCTCTGGAACAGCCTAGAATTCTAGCGAGGAACAGGCTGTGTGAGGTCAGCACGCAGAGACCGGGGTCACAATGCAGTCCTCCCCTTCGACGCTGGGGCCGGGACTTGCATCAGACACCTGCCAGGCTCCGCCTGGACCGGAGCGTCCTCCCGCGGCCAGGGCTCGGGCAGTTGCTTCCAGCCTGGGACCGGCCTCGGCCTCCGGCAGGTAAGCCACGACACAGGAGGCGGGCACAGGCAGGGAGCACCCAGGGTCCTCGAGCTGCCTGACCGCCACTCCCGCACAGAGTGCCCCGGGGCCTGGACATGAGTGCCCAGGAGACCCCACAGGGTCGAAGATTCCCCATTGAGGCCGGAGACTCCCCTGGCCTTGCCTCCGCCCCCGAGTCCCAGGACAGCCCGGAGCCTGCTGCCACGGATCAAAACCCGGTCAGGTGAGGCCGACGCCCCGCCCCTCGGCCCCGCCCCATCCCCAGTGCCCTACCCTAAAGAACCCAGGGCGCGCCCCAACACTATACGCCCCCTGTCGCCTGCCGCTTTCTCCAGGCCGCTCCGACGCTGCCCGGGCTGCCACTGTCTGACGCTGCTGCACGTGCCCATCGACGTCTACCTGGCCATGGGCGGGAGCCCCCGGGCCCGTGCTACCTGAGTGCGCCTGCGCACGGCAGCTCTGCAGGAGCCGGGAGGGACGAGGCCAGCCGCGGGCCACCACGCTGAGGTCGCACGCGCCGAGCACGAGACAATGATGCACATTTTAAAATAAAAGAATGATGCACATTTTAATAAAGCACAGCATAAACTGTTCTTTCCACTAAGGGCTGGCCGTGTATGTCTATCCGTCGGATCGGGCCCATCGGTTGCTCTGCCCCAGTCAGTTGCGCTACTCTACCGTCCCTTGGGCCACCTCCTCCTTCCACCTGTCTCAATTTACCGGCCCACGTCCCTCTAGGGGGTTGTCACCCTCTTCCAGGCATTTCTGGTTGGCTACCACCCTTTCCCCTAAACCTGCAGAGCTGCAGAGCTCTCCTCTTCGCTGGCCTGGGTTCGCCAATGAAATCTTGATTTCTCTGCGGGACCCTGGAGCAAGGGAGGGAAAGATGAGCGGACACCACAGAAAAATAAAGACTGGGCCACAGCAAGTCCATGTAATTCTCCCAAGCTAGAATTAGATTTGGCTTCCTGCTGTTCTTTGGCCTGCTTTCTGGGTCAGCTCCAGCTGTTTGGACCTTTGGTTTCTCCTAAGACTAGTGGGGTTACCGACTGAAAAGAAAGTTATCTGAAAAATATGACTTAAATACTTTTTTTAGATTTCTATTTTTCTGTATCTGTGTGTACACCAATGTATGCCTGTTGAATTCCCCGGAACCAAGGTTAAGGGTGGTTTTGAACCACTGTGTGGTAGCTTTGTAAGAACAACTGCCCTTAACAACCAACAACCAAGCCATCTCTCCAATTCATCCTTCCCGCCCCTCCCCCCGCCAATTTTTATTTTTATTTTTTTATCTGACCTGGCCTAAAACTCACTGGCCCTGAACTCAGGAGATCCACCTTCCTCAGCTTCCTGGGTGTTCAGATTAAAGGTGAGCAGCACCATGCCTGGCCCACCGTTCTTTTGTTGTTGTTTTTGGTTTTGGTTTTTGGTTTTTGAACCAGGGTTTCTTGTAGCAGAAAGCCAGCCACCTGTAGCGGTCTTGTTTAAAACTCTGTTTGGGGTGTTCAGGCCTCTACCTCCCCTCCACCAACCCCCAACCTTAAATAGGAGAGAGAAAAGGTTAGTGGGGGGGAAGGGGGGCTCAGACCCTTTACTTCTCCCAGCTAGTTTAAGGTCAAGGGGTTCTTTGAGGGCTCTGTACCAATCACTGTCAACCACAGACAGAGGCAGCCAGCAGGCTCCTCCACGCCGCTGTGCCCTGAAGCGGTTCTCTCCGTCTGTCTCTCCAAACCGCCACATGCCAACACTGAACGCCACACCTAACCCCACACAGTCTCTTTCTCAGCCTCATATTTCTACTCTCAGAATCCTAGACCCTCTCCCTTCCGCACGGCATATGGAAAGCCATTACCAGCTGGCAAAGATCATGCCCCACACGTGACAATTAACAGGTGTTGACAAATTATAGCCCAACTAAAATCCCACACTTGGGATTAAAAACAAAAGCATATTTTCATAACATACAAAGAAACCAAAACTTCCACAACAGTTTCTCTGTGGAGGCTTGGCTGTCCTGGACTCTCTCTGGTAGATCAGGCTGGCCTTGAACTCACAGAGATCCGCCTGCCTCTGCCTCTGTTTCTGTGCCCCTGAGTGCTGGGATTATAGGCATGCACCACTGCACCCAGTGGGCCCAAGTTTCTTAATTACCTATTTTCTAGATGAGTAATTAAAGGATTTGCCCAAGTTTCCTCAATAATGGGTAATGCTGGAACACCTAACTATTCTGTCTCCTCAAACTAAATGCCTTGACCTCTCCAACCCCAAACAGAAGTAATGATAGGAAGGTTCCCAAGAAGGGAGCCCGTTTAAGTGGAACACATTCTAATATTGCTATTGTTATTCTACAGTAACAAGGATGGTGATTTTTGTTTGGTTGTTTTTGTAACAGAATCTTACTCTGTAGTCTAGGCTAGCCTCTAACTTTGATTTTTTCCTGACTCAACCTCCCCAGTAAATCACAGATGTATGCGGTTACATCAGACCCTATAATTTGCTGGTTTTTAAAATTCTCTTTAAATGTGAAGATATATAACCCAGTGGTCTAGTTGGATCTCTAGTCCCTTGATGTGTAAAATAAATGATTAAAATATCTTTCCTCTGACCCACATGTGAAGTCCAAGCCCCTTTATAGAATACTTCAAATCCCATGGTCATCTGGGAAATCTCATAATCATCTAAAAAGGAAATTTTTAGTTGGTCAGCTGGTTTATTAAAAAATTAATAAAACAAATGAAAAGCCATACAGGGTCTGATAGAGCTCAATCTGACTTCAGACTCACTAGGTAGCTAAGGCTGGCCATAGGCCTGTGCCACAGGCCTGGTTTTATTCAGTTCTAGGAATCCATCCCATGTCTTTGCACCTGCTGAATAATCCCTCTGCCAACCCAGCCTTTTTAAAATGTTTTTTTAAGACTTATTTTTATTTTACATGTTCCGATGTTTTGCCAGCATGCATGTGTGCTCACTGTGTGCATGCCCTGTCCAGAGGCCAGAGAGGTCGTTAGACCCTCTGGAACTGGAGGTACAGGTCTTAGTGAGACACTGTGTGGGTGCCAAGGATCAAAGCCAGGACCTCTGGAAGAGCAGCCAGTGTTCACAACTGCTGAGCCATCTTTCCAACCCCTTTTTATTTGTATTTTTTAAATTTATTTACTTTTATTGTATATACATTGGTGTTTTGTCTGCATGTCTGAGGGGGTTGGATCCCCGGAACTGGAGTTGCACACGGTTGTGAGCTGCGCTGTTGTGCTGGGAATCGAACCAGGGTCCTCTGAAGAAGCAGCCAGTGCTCTTAACCGCTGAGCCATCTCTCCAGCCCCTTATTTGCATTTTTATATTTATTTATTTATTTATTTATGTATATGAGAGCTTTATCTGCATGCACACGTGCATGATAGAACAGATCCCGTGTGGTTGCTGGGACTTGAACTCAGGACCTCTGGAAGGGCAGCCAGGGCTCTTGACTGCTGAGCCACCTCTCCAGCCCCTTATTTGTATGTTTTTAAGGCGGGTTTTCTAAGCAGGACAGGCTATCCAGGCACTTGACACTCTCCTGCCTCGTCGGGGCTGGGATTACAGTGTGGCACCACACCCAGCTAAAGAACCCTTGTTGGTTTTCACACAAAATGCTCTCTCGGGTGGTCCATAAATGCTGGGCTCTGTGGACTCCTCCAGCCCTGAAATGCTGAATCCTTCCCATCCCCCCTTTTCCTTCTCATCTCCTGCACTTCCTTTCCTGCCCCACCCTCTTCTCAGCCTTCCTTTTCTTTAAAAAGACCATAAAAATACAAAACAAAACAAACCTTAACAACCTAAAAAAAAAAATGGACAGTTCCTGCCACCTCCTATAGACTTGGTTTTCCAGGGAGGCTGACTTCAGGCACGGATCTTGCTAGTCAGACCATGGAGCTAGCAAGCTCTAGAGCATCAGTGAGCTGGAGAAAGGGGCATTCCACATGGAGCGTTTTGGGCAAAGGCTTATTAAGGCAGGAAGGTGGAAGGCAAAATGAGGAATTAAGTTTTTATTCAAGCCAGGAGTGTGTCACGTGCTCAGATCCCATATCGAATGCAGGAACTCCAGGGATAGGTTAAAAGGTACATCCAGGAAGCCTTGAGGCCCAAGCTGAGGAGTGTGACATTTGTTCTGCAGACAACAGACTAAGCCAGGCTCCATTCTCCTGTTTCTATCTTCCATTCTATTCTGGTCCTTCCTGCTTCCACCTAGAAAAGCCTCTGGCTCCAACCCCAATCCTGAGTTCTAGTCCTGCCCCTGCCATTCTCCGTCTGTATGACCTTGGGTTGATATCTAAGACTCTCCGAGCATCCTTGTCCATATCTGGAAAAGGGAGGGTGGGACGGTATGTCACCTTCTGCAAGCTTTGGTAAAGGTTATTTTTTGATTTTTGTTTTTTTGAGACAGGGTTTCTCTGTGTAGACCAGGCTGACCTCGAACTCGCATCGATCTGCCTTTGCCTCCCGAGAGCTGGGATTAAAGGCTCTGGCTCTGGTAAGGTCATTTCTATATAATCTACATAGTCTATATAAAATCTCCTCCAGGAAGGAGGCCAGACTCAGCTAGCCCTTGAAAAATTGAGGCTGAAATTGCTGTTACTCTGACCTTTTGACTTCAAGGAGCAGCAGAAAGCCAGGCAGCCAGAGCCACTGTCACCACACGGAAGAGGGACAGATCTGGAATCCAGGAAATTAGGGAAGGGTCAGCTTCTAAAAGAATGCCTAGCTAGAAAGGAAGTGCTTCGTCCCTCACTCAAGGGTAGAGCTAGCTAGAGACTCCAGGACAGGACCTCCTGATCCCAGGCCTTATTCTCTGGGCCTGAGCAATGAGAAGGGACCCAGAAAAAGATGTTTGAATCACTGCCTTCTCTGACTTCTCTCTCAGATACCTATTAGCTGGCCCCTCCCGAAGGGACCCCCCTTTTAGAAGGAGGGGGCGAATCGAAGTACAGATGGACCCCCCAGGTTTCCATGGAGACGGCAGGGAAAGGGTTGCTGTATCACCATGGCAACAATTGACGTCAGCACTATTTCCCATCTCTTGATATGAGAGGGGGGCAGCCACCCCAACCACGAGCAAATCCCCCACAAAGCCTCCTCCCCTTGCTGAGCCAATCAACTGAAGGGTGGACAGGCTTAATATAGCCGAGGAAGTAAAAAAGCCCAGGCTCTGATGTCAGTCAAACCTCAGTTCAAATCCTCACTCTGCCTCCTCCTAGCTATGTTACTCTGAGCAGATTCCTTAACCCCTTCAAGCTTCGTAGGTACAACCGGGGTAAGCCAGCCAGCCTCCAAGGGCTACAGGAGGGTCAGGCCATGGTAGGGGCACAGTGTCAGCTTCTCATCGAGGGGTCTGTTAGGGAGTTTTGTGGCCAACCCCTAGAGGGGCGGGGGGGCAGGGTGATCATGGAGGAGACCCCAGGATGTTGCTCTTGACACAGTCAGGGCCAGTGGAATTTCCAGGCTCTCAGGAAACCACAGATGTCACTTTCTCTCAAGTCCATCACATCCGGCCTTTGACCCAGCTTCCTCTTTCTCCTCCTCCCATATGCCCGGCACTAAGCCTTGTCAGCAACCTTCAAC